TACACTAATTAATACTCAGAGGATACGCCTGATGAAGCGCATACATCAGCAAGTCTTGTTCAGATAAAGCAAGTGACAGTTCCGCAGGGAGATCTTCTAATGTACCATGGGACTGTCTGGCTAGGCACGTCTAATGCTGATCTTTTCGTCGATTGCTAGCTGAAGTACGAAGTCAAGTACTTACTTGTACTTGTTACGGCTGTGATCATGCCTGATCTTGCCGGCTTTGGTGATGTCACGGACGGTACCTCTTCATGCGTGGCGATTTGCGGCCGTGGATGTGGAGAGCTCCACCCGTTTCTTCTCAAGCGACCGAGATGGAAGATAGAACATCGAAGAACTGTTTCCATGTCTTGACGGACGGTGTCGAGCCAAGTTTTTAGTTTCCCTCCTTTTCGACGCTTCCTAGTGGGCTGCGGCGCCGGGTCGAGGGCAGCATAGCTAAGCTCGTGGGACGGACGACGGAGAACGTGTGCAAACCACCTCAGTCGCCTTTCTTGAATGGGCTGAGATATACTCGTGATACGATCGCAGTGGGTGCGGAATATCTCATTTAAGATGAGGTCGCTATACTTAACTCGAAGAATCGTCCATATGAATCTTCGTGGCGAAGGAGATGTCAATTCACATCTACAGGCGCTTTTAAAGGATTGAGAGAAACCAGTGAGCAGCATCCACATGGGAGACAATGTCGTCCTTGTTCTGCCCATTTGGTAGCAGCCTCACTATGAGGTATTTAAAGCTTTCTTCTTCTTTAAGTAGATGGCCATTAGTTCCCAGGGGCGCCTTCCCCTGGTGAGGGATGCAGCTCGAGTATAACGTCATCTTTTCAGAACTTATGGACATGCCAACCGACCTATCGTCTAATTTGTCTGCTACACTACCGACTGTAGACCACCAAACGTTTAGGCTAACAGCCCAATATAATCGGCTAGTCAAGGTCAGTTAGCCGGCGTCCGGTTGCAAGCTTAACACTGTCTACTACATGTGTGGCTTTGCCGAGATTCCAGTCAATGACATGGGAAAACTGGAAGGACGAACGGACACAGCCCTGTCGGGCACCAGACCGAATATCGATTGGGAACGGACCCTCCTTGCTACACCTGTACAATCACCTCATTAAGCCAAAGAGCCAGGGTGTCGACACAGGACTTGTACATTATCACGGGAATACCTTCCTCTCTGCACGCCTTGTTGTTGCGTAGCCTCTGCATTGCATCGGCAACTTCGTCTTCGGAAGGAAGGTCACACGACACTGCGTAGGCAGGAGACGGTAGAAGCTCTGCTGTATAGGAGAGGAACGCTGTCACGGGTTGTTAAACAAATGTGAGGAGGTGCTCAAGTTGTTCACGCGAACGATCAACCTCGGTCAATTTGTCAACAATAAAGCCTCCATTCACATCGCGAACATAATCACGGAGTGTCGGGGGCTTACTACTAACTTTGTGGATGATTTGGTACAATTACCGAGTGTCACCAACATTTGAAGCCTGCTTCATAGAAGCCGCCGTTTCGGACCCATACTTCTACCGGTCATCTCCAGCTGACTTTTCTGTCAGGTTTTGATGTTGGCAGAAGGAAATATCGTTTCGCGACCTGGTTCAAATCGTCTCGGCCGTCAATTGCTAGGATTTATTCACTGCAGCGCAAATGACTGAATCCTAAAATTTCCTCAGCTGCCCCATAGACGGATGTCTTCAGCCTGGGTCAGTCAGTCAGTT